CAAATGATATGGTCTTGTAAACTTTTGAACTTCTCTGGAGTAGAATTTTAATGTGCATAAGTAGGTTTATGAGGAAATCCCTAAATGTTAAGTATGCTAATGTGATGCTGAATTATATATCAAAACTCTGGAAACTGGGGAATTATGGTTATACCAGGCATTGGGGGGGGGCAAAAGAATTAAACTGAGAAATTGGGAAAGTGATCATACATTAAGAACTGGCTTTTTGAAATGTGCAACTTATCTGTTTTGGAAAAATATTTTCTTCTAATCAAAGGATGAAGTATTACGTATTTCAATAATACAATGGCATCATTAGGTTTCTATTTTTTGTATCTGATTATAATATAATAGTATTATAGGGTAGTCTTTATAAGCCAGTAATTATTCATAAGTTTACCATATATGTTTGATTTTTAGTTCAATTCTAACACTTTAGTATTATAATTGTTAAATTGTTAAATTTTGTTATGGACGTGAAGGGAGCATCACGTTTTTCCTCTCTTTTTTTCCCTTTGATTTAGTTGAATTTTATTATTGAGGTATATTCTGATACTGTGTTTATATTTAGAAATCTTCTAAAATAAAGAATAAATTTGGGGGGGAGATGAAGATGAGGACTACTCAGCTCAAAACTGGGCAGCATTCACTTTAACTGTGCATCATGAGAGCACTAAATAGCCAAATTGTAATGATTGCCTACAGAAACAATTTTACCTAGAGGTTCACAACAAAGAAAATTATGACATAATGCTTCATATATAAATGTGCCCCTCATGCCCACACTTTTAAGTTAGAGACTGCTGCATTCCCCCATCTTTTACCTGGCAGTTCAAGGAAATTATCAGCCAGAGTTGATATTTCAGCATGGAATACATCAGGAACAAGGAGGTGATATAGACCTAATCAGGAAATTGAGTCAATCAACACAAGGCATTAGCTACTGATTAAATCTACAACCCTGCAGGAAATTAAAGTGACAACAAAACAGCAAGAGGAGCTGATGTGGTCAAGTATGGAATAATAAGTGGTTGTCCAGGCAAATACAGGCATCATAGAGAGGCTATAGAAGACTTTCAGGGAAATACCTCCTACTGAGCCAAGAGACTTTGTGGAAGAGATCCAATTACTACACTTTTACAGATATAACTGAAAAGAAATACCCTGTTATTCCAACTTAATTGCAGCAGGCGTATTGTCAAAGGAATGCTTTCCAACATACAGTATTATTTTATTGTTTCACACAAGCATACAATATGAGCAAAAATACATATTTTCTTCGCATTTTTGAGATCTTAGAAAACTAAGAGGGAAGAGGAGAAGCTGAGGCTTCTCTGGACATGAAGATAGAAAATAAGAGGATACTTATTTTCAAAAAGGAGAAGATCAGCAGTTGGGAAGAAAGTTGGAAGTAGAACATTAAGGAGTAACTTGTATATGAAACTATATGAAATATTTTATTGTAGTCATAAGCCAGGTCAGATTTGCATGTGTGAATGAGCTTGTCAGAGACTACTGATCACTGATAAAGCATAGACATAACCAGTACCAACTTAAGATGATTTTTAAATAGACTTCTTTCATATATTCACAGCAAAAGGTTCAGCTGATCATCATGCATGTGTAAATGAGCACTTTATTTCAAGATACAACAAAAATCAGAGCTAGTCATGTTTCTGGGAAAGGGAGAAAAAACCCCAAAACACCTACTAAAGCAATACTTCTGTAAGAATTAATTGAAAAATCAGAGAATAGTATGCAAGCTTTTGAATTCTTCAGAAGATTTCATCATATAAGACATTAAAGAGAGAAGCAGAGGGGATAGAGAAAATGTAAAAGGAATAAAAACCAAATTTGAGGGGTTTTAATTTTTTAAAAAATATTTCTATTATTATAGCTTTGTTTATTAAAGTAATATACAAATTTAAACCGATTCCAGAAATGGTTTAGTCTGAGACACTGTAGAAGATAAAAATGATAGTGAATTAGAATTATCCATTTTCTAATAATTTCAGATTATTATTTCTAATATTCTGAGATTATTAGAAAATGTATTATTATTATTATTATTATTATTATTATTATTATTATTATTATTATTATTATTATTATTATTATTATTATTATTACTATTATCTGGCTTGCAATTGCCTTCACAATATTATACAGTATATAAGAGCAAAATACTTTTCAGTATATTATTTAAATGAGGGAAGCCTTTATCAGATTAGAAAATTCATTTCTTGCCAGTCATTGATCCAGCCACAAAGATTCTTGAATGCAGAAACACCAAATGGATATGGTAAAACAGCATAATTGAAAGTGGCAGCTATATTGAAGGAGTATCACAATATCATCAATTTTTCTTTAATTTTTTAAGCTCATTATTTATGTAATTCAAAGTGAACAATGTCACTGAACACTTACAACAGGCATGTCAAATTGCCGGCCCACAGGCCGGATGTGTCATACCAAAACCACGCCCACCCCATTGCCAGCAATGGGGAAAAAGTCGCAATACGTCGTGCGATGTCACGTGATGTCGCGAGTTTGACAGGCCTGACCTACAACACTTTTTGTATGCTACTCTGCTCTCATTTAGCCAAACAAATATTTGAAGTACAACACCCCCCCCCAAAAAATATCAAAATAACAATAAATGAGAATTATGACATCATATACTGCTGAAACTTTATTCCATCGCAATAAAACATAACCTTCATGAAATAATACTAAGGAGAACACAATGTAACACACTGTATCTCAGTCATAGATGGCTGAATTATGACTTATTCTAACCCTAACCTTAGAAATGAAGCATGATCATGGTATTAAAGGATTAAAATATATTCTCCCCACCCCAACTGCTATTAGCTGGAGGAAGGCGGGTTTCAGACAGACTAGATTACTGTAACATCTTCATCTAGTAGCTCCCATTGACTGTACTTCAGAGACTATAGATAGGAAAGAATGCCATGTGTAGATTACTCAATGGAATTATTTATTATGATATGTACCACCTGACATGTAGGCTCTACCCTGACTGCCAATTAGTTACTGAATCATAGTTACTTGGTGGTTTTTCATAATTTTGAACAGCCCATCCACTCAGAATATTTCAAAACATTGATAGTTTAATATTCTCAAGAGTTTGTGATCAGTTTATTTCAGGAACTACCTGTTTCATACAGATTTACTGAGTCTTTATATTCCAATTAGAGTATTTTATTAATTTGGAGAGCACTAATACCCATCCATAAGATGCAGAGGTAGGCATTATTAGAAGTGGTACCCACAATGTGGAAAAAAACTTCCAATATACGGTTAGTTGCAAAATGCAGTGCATTGCAAAAAAAAAAAAATAGAATTCAATCTCCATTGATCTTCCTATATTCTTTTCCATAGGTGCTCTATATTCTTATTTAAGGAATTAAATACCCTGCTGGGTATCAGGCCAAGGCCCATCTTATTCCAGCATTTTGCTTCTCACAGTGGCCTAGCAGACCCCTCTGGGGTGCTCAGAGAGAGAAGGAGGAGGCACGTCTTTTTCTCACTGATCTTCTAATTTAATTCTGACAGTAAATTTCCTGCATCCTGAAAAGAAAAGCTTTTGATAGACCTGTTCCTTATGAATTTATCCAATTCATTTTGAATCTATCCAAATCAATAGCCATCACCAAATGTTACGGTAATGAATTCCACAGATTTATTTATTCATTGTGTGAAGACAGGCTTTCGTTTGTCTATTCTAAATCTCCTTCTGATTAGTTCTGTTGAATGACCCTCAGTCTTAGTGCTTTAAAAAATGAATAATAATTTCTTGTTCATTTTATCCACACTACATATGATTTTATTCATTTTAATAAATAAAATAGCTTGTTCCCCCAAGCTATTCAATCAATGTTGCAACCCTTATTCATAAGAAAAATATTTCAGCTGCATGAAAATTTCTGAGCTTTTTCCAGTTCTATCTAGTTCTTAACTTGTTTAAAGTTCCTCATTAGAGGTTGCTGAGTAGATGTAATGGTCATGGGATAAGAAGACCTTTCCTGTAACCAATTACTAATTAGCTAAAAAAGAGAAAGCAAAGAATAGGAATAAGTGGGCATTGTGCTCAAACCAAAAAAGAAATGGAGTCTTCTCTAAGATTTCAAGTCGGTACATCCTATATATTCTGTAGATGCAGAACATGCAAATATTTCATTCAATTTTTTTGCAATTTCAAATCATCCTTCAAAATAACTTTCCCTAATGGAACAATCATTTCCCTAGTATTTATTTTAATATATAGATATGAATACAGTATATCTAAAACATTCTTAGCGTTTCCCTTAACTTGCTTGGCATACACTTTCTTTTCTCTCTCTGTTTGTGCTCCTTTTTATTATTATGTCCATTTCAGAAAGAACCATCTTCATTTCCACAGCTTGGTGGTGTTGGTTGATTCTTTCTTATACAATGGAATAGAAGTCACTCAAGTCTCAGGCATTATGTAAAGTTTTGGCACCTTGATTTTTCCCCTCAGCTTCCATCATGTTTACAAGTGTTCCCTTTTGTAGTTAAATGTGATTGTGCTGAAACAGTTGACAGTTTCTTATTTATGTTTATTTTATGTGTAATAGGAATTGTGGTCATTTTTTTTCTATTTTTTCCAAAACTCTTACCGTTCATGTCATACTAGATTACAATTACCACTTGGGATTTAACATAGGCTTCTCTTTCTTCATACAGCTGTTTTCAAAGAAATGAAAGTGTCAGTTCCTTACTCCGGATTTCCATCATGACATTGAACCCCAAGTTAGATGGCAATACAGAGGTTTTCATGACATCTTGAAATCCACCACATGCTAATATTTTTAAAGTACGAAATTACTATAGTCCTTTACCTTATAGATATGTTAAACTGATATATGTATAAATTTGTATTCTTAAAAGCAAAAATTTATAGACTTATTTGTGTTATAGAGAAAAAAATATAAATATAAATGGATTTTTTTTACCTGAAATTAAGTTTTGTTTTCTGAGATGTCAGTGTATCATTATGTGTAGTGAAATCCCAGGCTTCTGAAGATGATTGTGCTGAACACTAAAAGATACAAACAATACGCATTTTAAATCTATTATATCAACTGTATCATATTGAGGAATAAAGTTGTTAAAAAAAAAACCCAAAACAATGAAATACCACATTGTTCTAGACCAGGTCCTCCATATCTCTCTTATAATGATAGTTATAGAACTGCAAAACTGAACATTAACACTGATGTTCAGATATTTTACCCGATATTATTGTATTTCTCCTCATTCTTTGTAAGACAGCAAAAAAAACTAGAAAGGGAAAGTTACCCATTTATTTGCTCTTACAGACATTACTAAGCATGCATAGAAACATACCTAATGCACTTGTATGGGACAAAAGGATACATTTTGAAGAGATGCAATAGCACCAGAAATCATGTGTACTTGCTTAGGTTATGAAAATATTGTGGACTGCTTAGATGAGTGATGATTAATATCCAAAACTACAGCTAATCATTAAGAAAGGTATAAAAGTAATTCAAGTGATATGAAAAATTTATCGTATCTAGAAAGAAAAGTCTTAAGGAATTTCTCCATATAGTCATTAGTATTCCACAATAAATCAGTATGATTAAAAGGTAATACTATATAAATTAAGAAAATGGGAAGTGGACTGGACACATTTCACCTAATTCATATTTCGTTTGACTGTCAATTATATGTCCTCATCTGGCTTAAATTCTTACTATCCCTTTAGGAAAGAACAGCCTACTGAGATCCAAACCACAGATTGTCATATTTCCTCCTGAGCTCAGTTGTACATATAATAAGCAGAACTGCTAAGTTTATAACTAAGACCGTCATCCTACGAACCCAATACATTGAGTAAACTGGAGTATTATGCAAGGGAGATTCATTTATGTGATTACTGTTTCTCTGTATTAACACACTTGTTTTTATCACTTTAATTCCTCTTTTCTATCTTACTCTGAAATTAGACTTATATATTTTATTTTATGTTTTATTTTATTTTATTGATAAGATTGTAAGACTAATCCATCAATAAACTACTATCTAATTTATTATTTTTAATCATGAAAGTTACTTGTCAAGTTATTTGATGATCTGGAATCTTATCTTTTACCCATCATTGTTCTGTCTCACAATGAATGAAGTAGAAGACGCTAGCTAAAAGTAAGATTACTTATTTCTGCATAGTTAAGATTTCTCAGGCTCCTACATAACTATTTTAGCTTTTTAATAATTCCTTAATGATGTTTTAAGATCACTTTGAAACCTTTGATATATAAAACCTAATAAACTATTGAGGAAATATTCACCAGGAGAAAGGGATAGATGGAGAAAATGGTCTGAACTGGGATGGAAATGTTCTGCTTAAGCATATCATGACTTTGCATCTTGGGTACAGAAGAATTAGAGTTTGAAGGAAATAAATCACATACTCTTCTTACATTTCCTAGGGAGGTTTTAAAGGAAAATAAGACAATTATTCTGCTCTCTCTCCAAACCATTATCATAAAACAAGTAAGAGTTCAAATTTGCAATTAGGAAACTAAGAAAAGATATCAGAAATGTAGGGCATCAAAGGGCTAATCTCGCTTCTATCTGAACTTTCCCCAAATCTTCTTCCCATTGCAAGCCGTAAACAGGTTTAAAGCTATCCTGCCCTAGCTAGCTAGAGCTCTACACAGAAACAAATCTGTTAGACTTATATATAAATGTGTGTGTGTGTGTGTGTGTGTGTGTTTACATAAACACACATACACACATTATTGTGTTTCAAGTTCTCAATTTTGTAGCTCTAAAAAACAATTGCCTAGGATCAGTATTAAAGGGGGATAATAATCTAAAACCTTTCTCTCTTTTATGAGATGCTAAGGAAATATAATTCAGATTTTACTCTTGATCCTCCTTGCTCCAAATACTGGAACCACCATATACATAACAACTACCAAGCTCAGGTTTGATTGTAGAAGTATCTACAAATATGCAATATCAGGATGAGAAAATGCTGTTATTTCATAGAAAGAATATGTAATATGCTGTCTTTTTTATAAATATTAACCCAATTTTCAGTACAAATGTTAAATTTTAAGACAGTAACCTATTGCAATACAAAAACACTACAGAAATTTTTTCATTACAGCAACTTAAGTGTTGGGTTTTGATTCTTTGACAATGTTAAAAGAAACAAACCTGCTGCTGTATAATTTTCTCATTTGTGATCACTGCAGCTTTGACTGTGCAAATAATAAGTGTAACATGCTAAATTATCTGAGAAAGACGAATGCCATGAACAGAGATGATATATTTATTTTGAGTTTATTTAAATAATTGAAAAAAGTCCTGTGAAAAACAGGTCCTTCAATTTGAAACAAAGAAATATGAACTAGGTCTCACTAAAATATGATATAAAATGATTAAATTGGGAGAAAATACAATAGAAGGAAGTTTTCAGTTCCTCTGAACTTTTCTTTCTGTTTTTCTTGTAAATTCTACTGCCACCTGGTTTATTCAATTTAATTTAAGCCATATAAGAACAGAGATATGTAGGCATATACAATATATATATATATTTAATAGTATTATGTCAAAATCAAATTTATCAAAGTACAAAGTACAAGTTCTACATAAGTAGAACTTTTCAACATCTAAAGGAGAAATTGTATTGGGTTATGTATAACAAAAGGTACATAAGATTTGCCCACATCTTTACATTTTGGAGGTTGGTAGGAGGTTGCATTCGATGGCATGTAGAACCCTTCAAGTTCCATCATTTTATGATATTCATTTATTATCTGCATTACTGCATTCTGGGCCAAATATAGTTCCTGAACCATTTTCAAGGCTACCTGATACACTGTGTGGCAATAACCAACACTAACGTTCCCCGTTATGGTCCAATCTATCTCAGGACTGTCTCTTCCAAGTATGGGTGCATGTAATTTATCAGATTAAAATGGAACCTTGCAGGATCCCTTGGAAAAATCAAGCAAGTCTCCCAATTGTATGATAATAGCTAGTAATGTATGAGTAAAACTACTATAAAGTGATGCCTCCTGCCTGTCTTCACCTCTTTAAGGATTCCAAAAGTGTGAAAAAACCCCTGAGACATCAAGGAATATAAAGAGGCTTAATGTTCCCTGATTTCTCTACCTATCTTGATCATTCATCTGACAACCAAGACAAACTACATTCCAAATCCAGGTCAGACATAGAAGCATCAACTGGCCCTTTCTTCTTCCCCCCTTTGTTTGATGAGAACTATTGGAATGACTATTTTTGCCATTTCTTCTTGACTGACCTCTGCCTTATCAAAAGCTAGCCTTGCCTTGCCTCAGGATATTCTATTCTATTCTATTCTATTCGTTCTCTTTGCTCGAAGTTCAGTCTCATTGCCTTTTTAAAATACTGTCAAATATTTCATCTTTACTATTATTATTATAGTTTGTTATACAGTCAGCCAGATTTTTAGACTAGATTTGGCATTTTTATCGACCTATCGAGTCCTTCCAAGGACCTGGGATATTCCACATGTGGAATATTATTATTATTTATTAAATTTATTTGCCACCCATCTGGTCCTGAGGCAACTCTGAATGGCTTACAAACATTAAAACAAGAAACATTAAAAAGATAAAACAGTAGTAACAATACTCGTAATTGTAATAAAATGTATAATCAAAAGATTTTTTTTAAAAAGGGGAGAAGAAGCACAAAGAATACAGGGGAGGGGGGGTCTTATCTCAATCTACTAACCACCTCCAGAATGATACCGCCCTGTTGGACCGCCAGGCCTAATGGCAGAGACAGGTCTTCAGGCCCCTAACTGAAGGTCAGGAGGGTTGATGCAGGGGATATGGTATTCCAAAGGGTAGGAGCTACATACATGTCAGTTCTGCCCAGAAAAGTTGATGATCTTCAAATGGCTGGAGATTGTACACCATAACTAGTGATCAGAGCAAATTCTGGAAAAGATGGATATCCCTGGGCCATATCTTTGTAAATGCATATGGTCTTACTATAATGGAATAATTAATCTCTCTATGGAATATAATGACATTATATTTAACATCCTAATTTACCAGCTGAAAATTCAATAAATGCATCAGGCAAAAGCAGATATTCTTTATCAAACCCTGGATGGGAGGAAATACATCTCTTCTGGACTTGAAAGTTCAGCAATAGTTCAGTTGAGTAAACATCAATCATGTTACCTTTCTGGACCATTTACAAGGCTTGGGATGAAAAGCACTATTTGGTACTTTTGGCCTTCCACAGATTATCAATTATTTGCAGGGAAGAGAGGCCAGTCCAGTAAGGACTGATAGAGTTCAGTCCCCTCAACCTTATTTTTCCACCAATTACATAAAACCTGTAATCTGAGAATAATCTGAGATAGATTCTTCCTCTGTTCAGGAGCAGGTATCATCAATATGCCAACAATCCCCATTTACACACTGCTACCCAGGGAAGGCCAGAGATATCATTAATATCTTGGCCTAGTATCTGGACGCTATGAAAAGCTGGATGGAATGAAAGAGTGAATGTCAATCCCAATAAGACATAGTTCCTAATTATCCAAAAAACCACCCTTTTGTCTGATTTTCATTTTAGAGGAGTTTTATTTTCCCAAATGGGCAAATCTGCAATTTGGGACTCATTCTGAACTCATGGCTACTGCTAGATTTGCTGATAGAGACCATGGCTAATTGGACCTTTAGCCATATTCATTTCACAGATCCTTTGCCACAACTGGATTAAATTGATACCACTATTTTATGTTGATTTTATTTCATTGTGATATAGTAATTATTTTACAGTTGTATATTTGCCATGTCTTACTGCATTTGTAGATTGTCATGTATCATTTAGATTCAGTGGTATGTAAGCATCAATCAAACTGTCATATATATAAAACCACTCACTCCGAGCAATTCTAGGTAACACACAAAAATAAGGAGAGAATATGAAATCAAGCCAAGGAACAAAGAACAAATATTAACCCTGAGGGAAAAAAATCACATTTGTCCAACACAATTGCAT